CAACAAAGCCACAAGTGTTAAAAATTTAAAAAGGCATTAAACATTATGAATTGATGTGTAGCCATAATCGTTATAAACGTAAATAACTTTGGTTTTCTTTAAAGCCAAAACTTTATTGCCCAGTGATTTTTTTATCATTTTTGTTTCAGCAAGAACTTTATCAACAATCATAGTTTAATGGGTAGTTGAAGAACTGTGAATAATAAACAATTTAGGTGAAATTAATTTTTTAGTCATTATGTATATATTATGCAAAAGAAAGAAAGACAACAATGTAGTAGTAACCGGAACCCAAATACAGATAGCACATTCTAATACATTGAAAAGCACTATGACCAATTTTCTGGCAGACAAATTAGTACAAATACAAGTTTAAGTAAAAGCAGCGAGAAAGATAGGAGAAACAGTATGTAAGCTTAAGTTTGATAATACTGAAGACAAAGAAAAAATCATGCAAAATAAATCTAAACTGCAAAAAATTGGGGAACAATGCATATAAATTAATCACTACCTAACTGTAACAGAAAGATATATTCAGAAAAAAAGACAAAGAACAAAGGAAAAAAATTAAAGGGGGAGTGAGAATTGGATTCAACAAACTACCTGTGGAAACGGAACAGGAATGAAGGAAAACTAGAAAAAACAAAAGACTAAGAGTATATTATAGATTACAATATAAAATATGGTAATGGATATAGAAACAAGTCCAATAAGTAATAATGGGCGTGAAAGAGAAGTGCAAAAAAGAAAAGAGACAAGGAGAATAGAAAAGAAATATAGAAAATGGGAACTGGAATATTAGAAGTATATAAGACAAAAAAAAGAACTGCAGACGGAGTTTGAAGAAACAGGGATATAATAATGTACTGACAATATCTAAGAAGAAATAACAAGGAATGGTAACAAAAGAAAATGAACATTATGTATTTATATGTAGCGGAAAAAACAAGAGAGCAGCTTCAGTTGTAGGATGCATAGTACACACCAGATTAAAAGATTAAATAGCTAATTAAGTATAATAATATAAAGAGTTATTAGGAAAATATGGAGAAGCAGTACGAAACCATATGCTAGACTTCTGTATGATACATAATTTAGTAATAACTAATACATTTTTTAACACAAAAATATCCACAATTACCCAAGAGAAGTTAAAAGTAGAAAAGAAAAGTTAATAATTGTTAGAACATGTTAGAAAAGGTCCAGACATAGGAAGTGATCATTATTTAGTATTAATGAAAATAAAACAAAGTAAGTCAGATAATAACAACATTAAGAAAATCAAAGAAAAAAAAACAAATATATGAAACTATTAGGTCATATAAATTCAAGAATAACGAAAAGACTAAGAAATACCATACGACATAAAATGACAATTAAACAACCAATTATAAGAAAGATAATTGCTTGGAAAATATACTTAAAAAATAAAACACCAGAAAGCTATGAAGGATACAAAATTATATAGAAGATTAGTAAAAGGATGTGTTAATAAAGTAAACCACAAAGAGTTTACTGGAGTTGTAAAATCAATGAGCAAAGAAAAAACTCAAGACCTAGAAAATATATAGAATAAAACTAGCAAACTTGAAGTTCACAGAAGAGAATGAAATGAACAGATGAAGACAATGTTTTGAAGAGATGCTACAAACTTACTGCTATCAAGAAAACAAGCTGTTGTAATAAAAAAAGAACAATAATGTACATCCTACAATCATAAAAAAGCTGCAAAAGCTATTGCAGAAACGAAAAACGAGAAGGTACCAGATTATGACAGAATAACTAAAACAATTATGAAAAAATAGGACAGAATGGAACAGAGTTATTACTAAAGATATTTTATGCTGTATGAATAAAAAAAGTGATACTAATTGACTGGGAGAAGGCTCAGATAGTATCAATTTATAAAAAGAGTAATATAACAAATTGCAACAACTACTAAAGAATAACAATCTTAAGTACTGCCAAGAAAATATCTGAAAAAATATTGGACAAAAATAAATTGAATAAAAGAATAACCGAAAAATTGACAGCACACTTGAGGAATCACAAAATGGATTTAGAAAAGGAACAAACGTCCATAATCACATATTTCCCATCAAAAAAAAATAATAGAAAAATATTAGTATTAGAAACAAAGATGTAACTGGCGTATATAGAACCTGAAAAAGCTTTTCACGCAGTATCAAGGGAAAAATTATGAGAAATATTGGAGAAGAGAAGTATTAGCAACAAACTGATCAGTTAAAAAAGAACATACTACAAACTATGGAATGTAAAGTGAGAGTGGAAAAAATGCATATGGTTGACGGAAATTTAAGAAGAATGAACATTTCAGAAGAAGCACTCGCCGACGACCGCGACGTCTTTATATTGATCGGAAATTGTAAAACAATTACAAAGAAATATAGAAACATGAAATGAAGTACTGAAACAATATGGAATGGCAATTAATAAAAATAAAACCAAAGTTATGGTGGTAGAAGAAAACGAAGAAAAGATAAATATTGATAAATTTAATATAGACAAGTACGAAGCTTCCTATACTTAGGAGTAGAATTAGAAGACAATGGAAGAAAGGAAAGAGATATTAATAATAGAAATCAAAAAACGATAAACCTATAGTATGCAATGAACAATAAATTCATAAATAAGACTGAAATTACAAGAAGAACCAAAATTAATGTGTTTAAGTAATACATAGGCCTGTATTAACCTTTGGTTGTGAGTCGTGGTTTCTAACAGAACGACAAAAGAGTAAAATACAGGCAGTAGAAATAAAATATCTAAGACGAGGTCGAGGAGTTACCAAAAGTCATAGGCTATTTCAAAAAAGGAGAATACAAAACCGGTGAAAGAAATTTGGCAGGCAAAAACGCAAAGAAGAAAGGTAGACATGAACAGAAGCAAGGAGGCTGGTTAGAAATAAGCAGCAATGGGTCAAATTTGAACATAATGTAAATATACAGTTGAATATAGTTTAAAAAAAAAAAAAAGGTTAAGTTTGTTAATATTGAACTGTAGTTTTATTATAATGTATTGTCGCTCTACAATTGGTATGTGATGTAAGGGTTTTTGAATATATATAACTAAAAATTTAATTTACTCTAAACTGATTATTATCAAGGTAGTAATTAGTATTTATGGAAGGGAAAATACTATTTATAAAGTGAGAAAGTAAGTAAAAATTATGGAAGATTTATATATTATTTAGAGAAGTGCAGTAACTCTGATGTGACTACCAGTGTTAATTAATAAAATATTGATATGAACATCTCAAAAATACCTACCTATGGTGTCAAAAATAACATCCCCGTTAAAGAAAACGATGAAACTTTTGACAGTTTGATTATATTGGAATTATATACTATAATTCCAAGTCAACAAGCTTGAGTGAAAGAAACAAAAAAATCCAGTGAATTGTTTTGAGCTACCTATAATATAATTTTCTTAAACAACTGTTAACCCATAATTTTTAAACCACCGTACAGATACTTTTTAATACAGTTTCGAACTTGCCATAGCACAATATGATTATTTTAAAATATATTTTAAAAAGGTTTAAAGTATGTTCTAAAAATAGATAAGTTAATGGGAGGTAAAACACTTATTCCTGAGCAATGTATATTTGCTAATATATTTTAATATTGTGTAAATTTTTGAAAAATTTAATTTCAAAAAGGTTAGAATTAAAAGGAGTCTGCTTAATGGTAATAGCAACAAACATAATACACAAGAAAAAATCAAGCTGAGAAACCGTATATTAAACAACAGGCCACGAATAAAATTATATAGATGTAAATAAAATAAATAAAAAAATTGTACTTTGTATAACTAAATAACTAATATTATTTAGAATGGGAAACAAAATCTCTGAAACAGGTAAAAAATTTACTAGAATATGAAGAAAACCTAAAGTCAGAAAATTATCACAAAATTACTGAGGTACCAGTAAAAAGTATAAGGTAATACATATTCGAACTAAAACCTGAGATTAAGCATTTGTAGGTACTCAAAATGAATTTAAGTAAAATAAATTTTATATAAGATATTTAAAAAACCTAAATGAATCACAAAATTAAAGAAAGTTAATTGACAGTTCATTATAGTGGCAAAATTATATATTTAATTTTGTGTAGTAGTAATATTATGAATATATATATATATATATATATATATATATATATATATATATATATATATATATATATATATATATATATATATTACATGAAAATTTTCGGTTGAAATATTGAATAATATAGAGTAAGTACTGAAAAATAAAGTGAATATTAAAAAAAAACTAAACTCAAACGCTTGACAATGAAATAAAAATTAATATATATCTATTTATCATGAATTTAATTTTAAATTCATTAATTTCAAAAGGAAACTATATCGTACTTACCAAAAATTAGTAATTTAGTTTTGACCAAAAAATTACTATCATAAAATATGGACACAAAAGTTCATCAGAAATCAATAGAAAAATTTTAAAAAAAATTTGATTTAGGTTATTGTGCAATAGGAAATGTTCTATAAAAAATATAAAATTTTAGCAAGGTAGAGAAATGCAAAATAAAATTTTGAAACATAATCGAATAAATAAATCTTTCCTAAAGAGAACTTTTTAAATTGAAAATTGACTTACATTCATTGTTTGAAAATATAAAAATACACACAAAGATAAAAATCATTTCTACCTATTTACAAATTAGGTCATGTTGTGTTTAATAACAGATATATTAATAGAAAAATATAGTTGGTAATCATGTTAAAAGAATAGAAAATTAAGGTAATTAATTAATAGTTACATTATGAGAAATTTTGTTTGAATAAATATCAAAGTGCTTAAATAATTTATTGATACTACTATTTCAAGCACACAACTTTATGTAGTTATAAATGTGAAAGATTAAATATTGACAGTAAAATAGTAGACTTGTGTAGTTTTATACTGGAAAGAGATGACAAAAAGGAAAATAATAATATGACTGAAGTTAGTATTTGACATCGTATTTATTATATAATTCGTTTTGCAAGTCGTAAAAAATATACACAGAATAATACAAAAAATCAATAAAAACAAAATAAATATATCTATATACAGTAATGTACAAAAAATAATACATACAAAAGAATCAATAATTACACATTTCGACCGTTTAAAATAGTAAGTCTTTGAGTAGTAATGTTTATTATATATACCTAGTCAGTCATATAGAGTTATCACACAAGATAGGCCTGGCCTCCATTGTTCATCCCCGTCTGCATCATCACATGTTGTGGCCTCCATGGAGGGCCCCGTCGACCTGAACCCCCTCGTTCAAGGGTGCTATAATCGGAATCAATACTTGAATAAATATGATCCGATATGGGCCTGGGCTCTTGGGCTCTCCGCATCGGTCTAGGAGATGGAGTTGCCGTCGTGGCCGATGAGTAGTTGGCATCATCGGCCTCCTGGGGCACTGCAGAAGAGTAAGATGGCGGTAACATCTGCATTCCAGGACTTGGAGGGCCCTGCGTTCTGATTTTTTCAGGGTAAGTGTGATGGGTATGATGTGTACCATTTGCTACCACTCTTGAGTCGATGGTGTAGTTATTTATATTTCTTCTATAGTTTGCATTTATTTTTCCTCTGGGTTCAACCGAAGGCATTGCGTACCTTAGTTTTTCCCAGAATCGTTTTTCGCCCCATCTAACTCTTTCTGCAGTTTTTAAGTAGAGTCGAAGCTCTGGATCGAGCTCGGCTTCTGGAAGAGGTCCTTCTTCTAATATCACTAGTTTAAACACTCGTCTTTTAAGAGCTTCATGTAGGGCTTGTCGAAGTTCAAAACGGGACCACTCAGTCTGTAGGAAATTTCTTGTTAAAACTACTATCACTCTTCGACTTGCTTCTGCTGCCTCTAAAACCGCGGGAGCAGCATGTTGTATATACGCGGTATGCGGTAAGTCTCTATAATGTAAACATAGTTGAAATTTGGGCTCTAATTCCGCCGCTAGAGCTTGCACGACCCATTCTTCATCTTTGGGACTATAACACACGAAACCGTCGTAGAGTTTGTCTCTGTCTTCAAACTGTTTAGCGGCAGTATCTCGAAAACTGCATAGTCTCACTCCGTATCTCGAATATAACCACACGCGAACAGGATCTCTAAATACGAACCAGAGCACTAGTACAAGTAGCAACAGAATTACGATACATAAACTTACTACAACCATCGGCCAGTAGTCTGATACTAACATACTGTCTATTACAGAGCTTCCTGCGTAAAAATCACTACATGCGGTACTATTAAAGTCTAACTCACGTCGTTGGGGAGGTTTTGAGTCCGGATTATAGCACATCATGTCCGCACTGTCCACGATTTTTGCTGCATTGTCTGCCACCCACGCGGTAAGTCCTTGCAAAAATTTGCACCGACAAGACCATTGATTATTACCCAACATAATAATTGATAACCGAGTGTTCACTGAGAGTTGCCATACCGGAAAAGTCACTAATCTGTTACCGTCCAACCGAAGAGTTTCCAACGAAATTAAAGGCTCCAAAGTATTGTTACCGATGACGGAAATTAGATTATTTTGAAGATAAAGTTCTTTTAAATTGGATAATTGTTCGAATTCATAACCTTTAAGCTCACCGATTTTATTTTCTTCTAGATGTAGGATTTGAAGAGATTGAAGACCGTTGAAAGTACTATTTTGTATCGTTTCCACCGCACTATTATTCACATAAAGTACTCTCATATTTTTTCTTCCGATAAAAACGTGGTTTTGAAGCTCTTTGATATAATTTCCGTCCAAGTAAAGTTCAGTGACGTCCATTGGAATTTTTTGCGGAACTTCATCGGCATTTTGACCGGAACAATCGACTACGTTATTATTCCACGTCTGATCGTGGTAACAAGTGCAATTATTAGGACAAGTCATTTCACAATCACATGCATCAAAGTCACAACAATGGCAAAGAGCAAAACAATGTGTTTCGTAGTTACAAAGAAAGTCACTTTGTTTGGCTTGATTTAATGGCATATGTGTCATACCTCTAGAATGGGTCATTTTGCATACAATATTTTCCAAGTCCATTACTCGAGGATACTGCCTGGATGCTGACATGTTGTTGATGAGCTGAAGCCATTCCATAGTACAGTCACAATGAAAGGTATTGCCACCGAGATATATTTCTGGTAAAGAACGGTTCGAATGAACTGGAGCGATTCTGAGAGAATTTAAATCTAGATTTGTCATATCGTTAGCATACATATCGACACGAGCCAAATTGGATTTATCGAGGAAAGTATTTGGTTGCACAGATTTAATAAAATTGTTATTAATAAATAAAAGTTCTATACTATTAGGAATAGACATAGGAGAAATTTCGGTAATACGATTATGACTAGCATCTAAAGTTTTGACTCTGATTTCGTCTTGAATTTTGTAATAATTAGCGAGATGTTCAATAAAGTTACCGTGTATATCCAGCCACTTCAAATTACTTGGAATAAACGCATAGTCGAACCACACTAGATGATTTTCAGATAAATTTAACCACAACAAACTGGCTAAAGTAGCAAACACTCCGTTAATGTCCGTTAGAAAGTTTTCGTCCAACCGAATCGCTTCGATTTGTGTATTTCGCTCAAAAGTTCCTCTTTCAATGTTTTGGATTTTATTTTTCGCGAGGTTAAGCACTTGTAAATTCGGCAAATCCCAGAACATTCCTTTTGTCAAGTTTCCAACGTTATTATCGATCAACCGAAGCCCCGTCAATTGATTTAAATTTTTAAACGAACCGTTTTTAAAATCCGATATTTGATTTTCGCCTAAGTCTAAAGTTTTAAGGAACGACAGTTCTTGAATAGCATCCGGCACTTCCGAGAGAGCGTTCGAACTCAGATCGAGCTCTTTAAGAGCGGAACAATTCAGAAAAGCACTTGAATGTATGCTGACGATCAGATTATTATTAAGAGTCAGTTTACTGAGAACAAAAAGACCGTTAAATAACTGCATTCCGATAGTATTTAATCTATTTTCAGCGAGATTTAACGTATGTAAATTGTACAATGGTAAAAAAGCGTTGTCTTCTATAAACCCGATCGAATTGTTGCGCAAATCTAATATTTGCAGAAAATAAAGATCTTTGAAAGTTCGGCCATCTATGCGGGTGAGAGCATTATGGGATAAATTTAAGATGATGAGACGAATCAGTCCTGTAAAGGTTCCCGCATCTATATGATTACTGGTCAATTGATTGCCCGACAAATTTAACACCAATAATTGTTCCAAACGATGAAAAATACCTTTAGCTAGTGAATATAATGAGTTGTTCTGAATGTGGATTTCTTTTAATTCTGGAGTACCAGCAAATAAACCTTCTGGTAATGTTCCTATTTTGTTGTTGTTCAAATTTAAAATTTTTAAAGAGACTAGTCCAGCTAGTGTTTCTCCAGATAATTCAGTTATGTTATTATTCTGTAAGAACAAATGTTGTAATCTTCTCAATCGTGAAAATCCTGCTTCCTCATTTAAACTTCTTAAATCATTAAAAGATAAATCTAAATTTTGCAACTCACTGTTACTGCAATCAGGAACATTTAAACCAATTCTCTCAGGATTCTTTATTCGATTTCTTGTTAAGTTCAAAGTTTGAAGGTTTGTTAAGGAACAAAAAACACCATCTGGTAATGCTCGAATATTGTTGTCGGCCAAATCTATAAGTTGCAGCTCTTTGAGACCTTCCAAACTATACGTAGTTAATTCTAGAATTTTTGTAGGTCCCCAATCTGCATTAAAAGTGTTGATTGATAATTTTTTCACATTATAAAGTCCGTCGAATGAATTTGGTGGTATGGTAAGAACTTTACAATTGTTAATACGTAATTCTTCAAGTTCATGAAGTCTGTGTAGTCCCGATGTTGGCAAAAAACTTTCGAAGAACAAAACATCACTGCAGAGAATTTTAAGTCGAGAAGTGACTTCCGTCGGCAAAGCAGTTATATTGGCACTTTCTTCAAGAACTCGAACTTTACAAGTAACTGATAATTTCGAAGAGGAAGTATCAGTGTTGTCCGGTAACCAAGAGCACTGTTCTGGACCATCGAAACGAGTAGCCACCCCGTACACCACAAAAAGTAGCACTTTTAACAGTTGGTACATTGTTTTAAAAGTTGTTTAATCACACTACTAATTTCATTTCAGTGTTGTTTCAAGCACATCTGAGTTATACACTCGCGTAATTTCACTCCGGAGACAATTTAACATTTTTCGGACTTTATATTTTTTTGCATAGCGCGCGCGGATGTTGTAAATATCAACGTTCGGAGCGACGAAGTGGCGTGACTTCACTCCGAAGCACTTGAAGTTCTACTGAACGCTCCCGAGCTCTTACTGCGGTATATAGCAACCGAAGATTGTGAGAACCTCGCGCTTGCGTCGCCTACTTCGCCATTCGGCCGCTGTATACAGAGGCGCCACGTGCCGGTAAACAATTTTGAGACTTCGAATTGCTGGGATCTTTGTTATTTTCACTTACCTGACTTACTTGCACTTTCAGATTTGAGAGATATAAAAGGATGGGGGCAAATTAGTTCTAGATTCTTAATGTGGAGATATCATCAGTGGGAAAGCGAGTTTTTAGGGAATAAATTGGGTGTTAGAGGATTTTATAATATCATAAAGTTGAAATGTCGCTCGCGAAAATGTATAAGCGTGAAAATGTCTTTCGAAATGGTGGTGACGTCTGTTTTGATAAGGGTTGTTAAGTAATTAACATTCCGAGAAGCGTTATTCCCGTTTTGATTTTACATGAAATGAAATGTGTTTCTAAATTTCGGAGTAATAGATGGAGACGTTGCTAGTATGAATAAACTACAGGCGACAAATTACTAAATAATTAGTTGCCAAGTTTACTCTAATGTCAGCACTGATTAATATCTTCAAATCCCTAAACTACGCATCTATGAGCATAAGTAGGTATATGCTTTTCGTTTCGCATCTTAGTTCAACATTTACAATTATAAATTTCTAAAATTCTAGAAAAATAAGCTTATATAAATTAAGAATGTACAAGACATAAGTAAACAGAATACTAAGTTTGGCGAATAAAACTATTAGACACAGGAATATCATATACAAAAGTAAATTTATACATATCATTAACTAATACTAATATGTAGTAATATATATATATATATATATATATATATATATATATATATATATATATATATATATATATATATAGTAATATGTATAGTATATAATACTTATATAGTAATATACAGGTAGAAACAACTAAATAAGAAAACCTTTTATAATCTAACAAAATCGTCCCGAAAAAGTAAAAGGGTTAAATTGTCATAATACTAAAGATATAAAGAATACTTAATGAAAAGAAAAATATAATTTTATTTATTGGTGTATATTTTTTGCATATAGGTACCTATAAAAAACCAAGTATGTATCTATTTGAGATATATTACACACATTTTGGCTTGTCCATAACTTGATCTTCTTATAGTGACGATGAGGTCCGTGTAGTTTAATAACAAACTGTTATTACAACTATATAGTTATAATTAATTAGATCGTTACTTCGCTTATAGATCGTCTAAGTTGATCACCGCAATATTTCATTTCTAGATCTTCTTATTATTGACTCTTGTTTATTGGCTATTCGAATTTGTTATGCCGTTTCTTCAAATCTCCTTCCGTCTTTGATGTTTACCTCATCTACCTATGCATAATTATTCGCTTGCCAAATATATTTTGTAGATTGTGGAAATTAACATGAACAGGTCATATTTTTCACCATTTTACTGTTTCTCTTGGTTAGTAACATGTTTATGTCAGAGTAGTCCAAGCTGTTTTCCATTTTTGTTGCATCTTAAGAATTATTGGTAATATTGATGAAATAAGCTGAATTAGCCTTTTTGTGTCCACTATTTAAGATGGATATCACTAAAATGAACAGTAAGATTATTATTTTAAGTTAAATTAGAAAACTTTGAAGTAAAAACGAAACATTTAAATGTTTCAAGCATCAGGAACAAATAAAAGAAATATGAAAGGACGGGAACGGTAACCTCAAAGCATGAAGCTCTGTTAATAAGTGAACGTACATTCAACTCTAGAAAATTCGGCCAAGAATTTTAGCAAAACTAAACACTTTTAGAGTTATGACTGCAATGTGCGAAAACGCTTTTCAGAAGTTGAAAGAAAAACAATCACATCGCAATAAATATTATTGACTGTAGCAACGAAGACCGGATCCTATTGTACAGTAGAATATCTGAGTTGGACTATTGAAGGTTGGAAGTGTTGTTATAATATGAGAATCATTTTTTCGTACTACGAAAGCGATCTAATTTTGGTAAAGTAAATGTTTAGGAAACATTTTCGACATATAGATTAAAGAGTTAAACATCAACTTTTTAAAATGATTGCACTCGATGCCACGTGTCTAAAATCATGACCAAATATTTCAAGGATAATAACACCTGGCCATGATTGGCCAGGAAACTAACTGCTCCTTAATCCGTTTGAAAACTAAAATAGTTTCTTCAACAAAAACAAAACTGATAGGTCTAATCCAAATATTCAACCCCAGCCAATATTGGAAAATTAAAAAAAAACTGGTTTGTTCTATGCCAAAACGCATTTAATAAATTGTTAAAGTAAACGATAGATATATTGCGTACAAAAACTATTTAAATTGTATAAAAACTAGATATTATTTTCTATTTTCTTCATCTATAGCTAATAAATTTTATTAATTCAAGTAATCAATTATCTCTGCACTAATTCGTACAATATTGTAGATAAATTATAAAATACAGACGAGATACTAAAATGAATATGGAGAAAGCCGAATTATATCAGTCTAATTATATGTATATATTAAATTTGAAGCTAGTTTCTTAAGATTATGTTGTGAGACCTCATACCCACACAAATATTTCTTTCAACCGCCTATTACCTATTCTCGTAGCTATTCCAATTGAATGGCTAAGAATAAAAACAAACATTGAAGGTAATACGTAAAAAGAAGAAAAGCGAAGAAATCAAACTAAGCGATATTGCTTTCTATTGTGGGAATTCAGTATACAAAAATTAATGAAAATGCGTAGTAGAACATTCATATATACTAAATGTATAATTGTGTGGACAAAATCAAATAAACATATGGATATTTTGTGTGGTCAAAGAAAGATAAAAAGACAAGCAGGAAGGAGAGCTTTAAGAACTGTTGGAAACAACATACAGGTTCATAGTAACTTAGATATATAGTTATAGTTTGCTATGTGTTGTCCTATTTTTCCTTTTTTTTTTATTAATTGGTATGTATAAACCATGCAAAATGCTTGTTCCAATTTTCTGAGGGGAATACTTATTTCCTCATTCAATATTTCAGGCATTCTATAGTACTAATTCAATGGAAAATCATTGTCGATAATGAACATTAAAAATTTGTTTCAAGTTAATAGGCCATTTGTACTATCATTTTTAATAGGAATACTATCCCCCAGTTTTTTATTCCTTACTTTTCAAGTAGTTTTGGTTTCCATTTCTCTACTTTGATCTTAACAATTATACCTCCATATTTTTTAAAAATTGTTTGCGTAAGATAAATACGACATTATTCTCCTACCAAACATAGCGCATATTTGAATTAAATTGCGCTATGGCAAATATATGTGTAACATAGATATCGATTACAGCCGATAAACATATTGCCATAAACAATGATCAAAATTAAATAATTTCATTAAAAATCCAACACTAAACAGTTCTCATCTTTTTTTTGGTATCTATTAATCTATTTTGTGCATAGGTAATATCACAATTTATTTATACAAAACAAACAATCAAAATTAAAATAACATCAAATATCGTCTCGTTAATTAAAATTGTCGGATATGACAATCGCATTCGTTGTGTGTACATGAAAAGCTGTTGTTAAAAATTTCGTTTTGAGTTTAATTTCAGTTTTTTGCCATATTGTTTAAATTTATTAAAACCACTAAAAGTTATATATTATATACATATAGTCCAGTTCTATCGTAAAGTTCAGGTGCTTTTTAAACTCACGTATTGAGATTTTTAATATTCTTTTCGTGTATTTCAGGCAAGGCTGGACCTGCTACTTTTAACAATCTTTTCTCAATATGTTGCTATTGGTAATGTTCTAAAAGGACACTGACCCCATTTTTAGGGACGGCTAAATGTCCTAGTACCAAGAAAAACATGGGCATTTAATAAAAATCTAGCAAATTGATAGTAAAAAAAGTGAACAAGCCGCAGCAAATCCAAATAGGTTATACTTATATGATGAAATTTAATATTCACGAGATTGACAAGAAGTTTGCAGAGATATTGAAGTTTGCTATGAGATTAACAATATACATCGCGAAAGCAATTCTTTATCTTGCATTTAGTCATAATTATTTTCTTGTCTTTTCCGGGCGTTCGTTAATAGAGATCTTGTATATATAAAGTGATGGAATAAAGGAAGTAGGTATAATAAAATCTGATCTGAAACTATAAGAAAAGAGAGATTAAAAACAGTATCTAGAATATACTAGTACCTACTCATAATAAAAAGAAAGAGCTCGGTCGAGGATGTTAACTATATCAGAAAAAGAATCAATTTAGAATAGACTAGTAGCATAATCAATCGAGTCATAATACAACTAAAAAATATTCTTTTAGAAAAAAATATATCAAACTGTGATTTTATTATTTTAATTGTAAATTTTGACCTAGACATTTACTTTTTGCATACCGGCCACACTCCTTCTGAGAATACCCAAAAAGCGTGCCGATTCTCGTTTAAAATATAAACAACCTTGCATTAAATTTGTTTCACATCAAGCAAAACGCAAGAAATAAAAACATCCTGTAGATTTCAACTGATGGCCTACTGCGAATTAGGCAGTAACGAAATCCCAATGTTTACATGAAGTAAAAGAATTTTAAACGACTGTTAGCAAGGCCCTAACCTTCACAACATAAAATATGTCTTCTATATATCTTACAACGACGTGGGTTCATCGGTACCCAAAATTTCTACCTGAGTTAATCGTACCCACGTAACAATTTACTACTTAAATCCTAAACTAAAATTGTGCCAAATTACACAGAGCGCCTTGTAGACATCATATTTTTCCTAATGCTAAAGTAATAGTTCTCCATATTACTTTAATTATAACATATGGCCATATGCTTCCCCTTTGGTGTCTATTTACCCTATAATTTAGGCCCACAAAATGGGAAATCGTTTAATAAAAATAAATTTGGGTAATAAAACTGGCTGCGGCGATGGTTATTGCTGTTTTTTCTTCGTTATTTCCCAGGCGGTGG